GACGGTCTTGTAACTTCAGCAAGCCCAAGGGGCTGCAGAACAAAAGGCAAGTGACTCCGCGAGCAAATACGGAGAAGATGATGCGGAATGTCTTCAATGAGCCTTCCGAAGGGAGCCTTCCCACTGTTCCTTGAGACCCAGACTGGGCATTTTGAAGCTCCTCCCGGACCTGGGCAATTTCCTGGTCCTCACGTCAAATTCTCGTCGTGAGAGATGTGGATTCATGGGCGTGAAAAAAAGATAAGGAAAGGATAGAAAAAGATAGACTAAAGGTATGTTCAGGCGAATTTTCAAGGTCACAGTACTCAAGTGCAAAGAAGTCCCCAGGTCAAGCCCCAAAGCTGACTTCCGAAGTGAGACCCTTTTGTTGGCTTAAGATGGTTAGACCTGCAACCCTCAATCAGAATCCTTGATTCGCAGACGCTGCCGCATCAAGCCAATTTCAAGGTTCACCGCTGGGTCCACCAAAGCACCCTTCAAGGAATCCTGAAGTGCAGGAGATGTGTGCGTGTGTGCGCAAAGCATGACATCACATTAAAACTGCTTGAATGGTGGTTGGATATGCCCTAGAGTCCCTAGAGTAATATTAAATACTACACTCAATGGGATGGATTCAAAGTACTGGTCAATAATACTGTGCTGGCCATGTTGGCACCTTGCTCTATTGATCCTGTTTGTGCGTACGTGTTCTTTCCCATCACAAACCACTTGCACAAAAATGATTACAACACCATCCTTCCGGCTGTCATCAAAGGCGTGGAAAGCTTCAGCACACTCTTGGCCCCTTGGCTGATGATGCTGATGGGATCTGTACGCCATGTACGCCATGTAGCTACCGCAACAGGGCACCACAGCAGCTCAGGAAGACTTTCATCACGGAGCACCAGCCAGAACGCAGCAAAATGACAGCGCAAGAAAGACCAGCTACAACCTGCATAAGCAGTCCACCCAACTCGCACAACCCCAGTCTCGCAACCTGTCTCGAGACAGGTATCGACAACCTTGATCTGGTATAGGAATTGCGCCACACTGACATGATCTTTCCCCAACTTGCAATAAACAGCTAACATATGCTAGAGTTTGTTCAGGCTGGCAGCAGTGGCAGTGACTACAATGAGTTTCAAGGTGGCCGGGCAGCTTTCGCATCTCTCTCTCGCGCTGTGCCTGAAGTCAGCCCAGACCACAGCCAGGAACGATAAAAGTTCAAAGTTTTCAGTTACATCATCACTCAGTGTTTCAAACATGTCAATTTTTTCAATATGCGCCTGACAAAGTATGTTATAGACTTTACGAGTTGAGCCCTGGACAAAGCGGGACAGAAAGGCATATTCTCGCCTTTGCAACCTGGTCTGGCACGGAACTCACGCTTGTCTTTCGGAACATTCAAATTTCAACTGTATCCTGTGGCATCCTGTGCCTATGGAAACCAATGTCCACTACAGGCCCTGCAAAGTTCGAGCATCAACCAAAATTTTCCCATATGCGAGTATTAGCATGTATCATCTAATGATTCAACCTGCTTATAGATATACACATACGAGGTTCCATTGTTCACGCCACTGCGGCCTTTTTTGGCACGTTTGCAGCTTGATGCAGCTTGGTCCCCGACTCCATAACCTTTTCCGTCAAGTCTTCGTCCTTCATAGCGGTTGCCAATGCTTGCCAAGTTCTATAATATTGTGAGCAGAGATGCAGTTGCGCAGGCTTGCGGTCGTCAGCAGATCCAACCATGCACGAGTCGCCTACACATGTATCAAGCCCCTACACAAGCCATGAGTTTGCGCAGCCACAGGATCAAAGTCTGTACCACGTTTGGAATCAATGCTCACATGATCACGCTTTCCACAGCTCCCAACATTCCAATGACAAATTTGATCCATTTACCTTGGTTAGACCATCGGCTATCATCGACGGCTGATCCACCCATCTAATGCTACGGCTGAGATTCCGGAGGTCCTCATGGATGATTTGAATTTCAATGGCTGCCTGATCCGCCTATCGCATCTTTACAAACTTGATCGTACAAGCTCTTGGCGTCTTCTACCGCTAAACTGCCCCTCAGCCGCTCAGAAGTCCAGCGCCATCACTCGGCTCCAACGTACTCTCTTTGGCCAATGTCGCATATCGATGAGCTCATCAAACCGCGCCATGACCCACATCAGGTCGCCCAGGCCCGTGCTTCTGCATTTTTGTGATTTTGTTCAATTTTTGCAATATGGTTAACCGAAAAAAAAATACGACAAATAATGAAAAATACGAAAAGATGCAAAGAAAAAAGAAAAAAACGGAAAAATGCGAGAAAAAAAACGGGAAAAAGGCGAGACAATGCATGCAATTTCTCATGACTTTTGTCTTTCAATTTGCGCGTTCTATTTGGTTGTTGTTTCCGTTTTTCCCACATGTTTGTCGCATGTTTTCGCGTTTGTTTGCTTTTTGATTTACTTTTTTTCCTCCTCTGTCTTGCTTTGCTTTCACATTTTTCCCGAGAGCGTCTGAGCGAAGGGTTCTTCTAATAGTGGGGGTCTGTCAAACATTTTCAAATCTTCACATCTTCACATCTTCACACCTTCTCATCTTCACATCCTCACATCTTCTCATCTTCACATCTTCTCATTTTCACATCACATCTTCACATCTTCTCATCTTCACATCTTCTCATCTTCACATCTTCACATCCTCACATCCTCACATCTTCTCATCTTCACATCTGCTCATCTTCACTTCACATCTTCTCATCTTCACATCTTCACATCCTCACATCTTCTCCTCCTCACATCTTCACATCTTCACATTCTCTCTTGCCCTCTTGCTCTCTTGCCCTCTTGCTCTCTTGCCCTCTTGCTCTCTCCTTCTTTTCTATTTCTCTCTTAAGGCGCGGGGCAGCGCCAACGAGACGGCACGAAACGCAACCCTTTCGCACGAAACGACTTTTGATCGCCAAAAACTGAGGTGAAATTGCGACTATAACCTCGGCGGCAACCCTTTCGCACGACATGAAGTTCGATCTCCAAAAACTGAGGTTAAATTGCAATTTTACAACCTGGGCGGCAACCCTTTCGCACGAAATGAGGTTCGATCGTCCAAAACTGAGATAAAATGGTACTTCTGTGTGTAAAAAGTGTCTGTGTGTAATAGCGTTTGCGTGTAAAAGCGTCTGTGTGTAAAAGCTTCTTTGTGTAAAAGCGTCTGTGTGTGTGTGTAAACGCTTCTGTGTGTAAAAGCGTCTGTGTGTAAACGCCTGTGTGTGTAAAAGTGTCTGTGTGTAAAAGCGTCTGTGTGTAAAAGTGTCTGTGTGTAAAAGCGTCTGTGTGTAAAAGCTTCTGTGTGTGAAAGTGTCTGCGCGTAAAAAAACATTCTGTGTAAAAAAATATTCTGTGTGTAAAAGCGTCTGTGTAAACGTGTCTGTGTGTAAAAGCTTCTGTGTAAACACGTCTGTGTGTAAGAGCGTCCGTGTGTAAAAGGTTCTGTGTGTAAAAGCGTCTGTGTGTAAAAGTGTCTGTCTGTAAAAGTGTCTGGGTGTAAAGGTTCTGTGTGTAAAAGCTTCGGTGTGTAAAAGCGTCTGTGTGTAAAAGCTTCTGTGTGTAAAAGCTTCTGTGTGTAAAAGCTTCTGTGTGTAAACACTTCTGTGTGTAAAAGTGTCTGTGTGTAATAGCGTTTGCGTGTAAAAGCGTCTGTGTGTAAAAGCTCCTGTGTGTAAAAGCTTCTGTGTGTAAAAGCTTCTTTGTGTAAAAGCGTCTGTGTGTAAAAGCTCCTGTGTGTAAAAGTGTCTGTGTGTAAAAGCTTCTGTGTGTAAAAGGGTTTGTGTCTGTGAAAGGGTCTGTGTGTAAAAGCTTTGTTGCGTAGAAGCGTCTTGGCATCAAAGCGTCTGTTTTCAAAACCGTCCGTTTGTACAAGGGTTTGTGTGTAATAAACGGGTCGGTGTGTAAAAGGATCTGTTGAGCTGACCGAAACGCGTAGCACTCAGAATTCGCATCGTGAAGTTACGTTGCAAGTTGCAAATGTGTCGAATCGGGGTTGAAGCTTGCAACCACCCCCGGGTCGCTACAAGTTGTGCAGCACTCAGACTTCGCATCGTGCTCCCCCTTTGAATTAAGTGAGCGCGTTGGTGTTGACAATTTTAAAGTGATAATTCTGGAGACGCTGACCCTCTTTCTGAAAATGCATCTATAGAATCAGAGACCCCAAGGTATTTTTAAGTTGACAATCTCTATAGACTTGCTGCCACTGAGGTCGTTTATGGGCATCATTTTCTATAGAATTGCTGACACCAAGTCACTCTCGTAGAGCCTTTTTTAGGTTGGGGGGCTTAGTTGGCCTTCTATAAAATCAGACTCCCCAAATATCATTCATTGACAGCTGACCTGAATGCTCCAGTTGCTCTTGCCTAGCTTACCTTATGCATTTCCAAATTTATACAGCTCAAAGGCTCCAAGTGTTCGATGTCAACCTCTTTGATTTTATAGACTTGTGAAAAATGCTTGAAAGATCTTGACAGTTGCTCTGTTTCATTTTGTTTCCATCTGTTTCCATCCGCTTCCTTTCTTTTAATCCTCGCTGCTCTGGTATCTGCCAATACTTCTCTATAGAATTGAAGAACATGACATACATCCAAAGAGAACATATCCCACTATAGGATCGCAGTCCCTAAGACTCTCTGCTGACTAGTACTCAGTCCTGTATTCAACATGAAATCTCTATAGAATCAGAGACCCCAAGGTCCTCTATAAAATTGAAAGCGTTGACACTGGGCAGGTACCCCTAAACAAAGCAGAGGGTTAAAACGCACCATTTTCCAGGACTTAACGTTCCTGATTCTGTAGAGGAAATTCCAAGGGGGATCAATTTGCAGAGTTTTTGCATTGAATATGTTGGGTTGATTGGCACTGCAGCATGAGAGACGAATCAATCGTACCTTTTTGGTTCAAGATTTGCACGATCTTGGAGGATGTCGCTATGTCGAAAAGTAGCTCAACTTCTGGCAAAGTTACAGATGGTGGGCCTACAGCTGAGTTGGAGCAGCTGCGCGTGGAAGCCCGCAGCAGGGGAGTGGAGTGGTTGCTCACTGCAGTGGCTGCTCTGCAGCGGGATGAAGTGCGCAAGTTGGCGCAAGCTGCAGGGTTGCCTGCGCGTGGAGCTGGTGGTGGTTGGATACCTGTGGCTGAGCTGCGTGAAGCACTTGTGAAGCATCTCGCGCCACAGGCCAAGGCATCCGAAAAAAATAGCTGTGTGAGATTTAGGATACTTCTGTTGTTGTTTGGTTTGCGTCCCAATTGAAGTTTTGGAATCAGAATCTCATGATATCAGTAGTTGTGTTGCTTCATTTTTTTAAATTTCTCATGCTGGTTGTCCTGACATCAGTATTTGCGCTGCTTCATTTCAATACTGTTTCATGTTAGTTGCTAACGGCAAGTTTTGACAATTCCCACCTTGTGATGGTTTCACCCCTGGATCTTGGTTAGCTTTTTGAATGTAATTATGTAATCCACATTGATACAGGAACTTGTGTGTGTGTAGGTTTTGTTGTAGCAAAGAAAATGTTGTGTTTTCGTGTGGTTTGTCGTGCATGCAGAAGCATAAATTCCATGTCAGGATGGCAAAGTTACAGATGGCGGCCTACAGCTGAGTTGGAGCAGCTGCGCGTGGAAGCCCGCAGCAGGGGAGTGGAGTGGTTGCTCACTGCAGTGGCTGCTCTGCAGCGGGATGAAGTGCCCAAGTTGGCGCAAGCTGCAGGGTTGCCTGCGCGTGGAGCTGGTGGTGGTTGGATACCTGTGGCTGAGCTGCGTGAAGCACTTGTGAAGCATCTCGCGCCACAGGCCAAGGCATCCGAAAAGAATAGCTGTGTGAGATTTAGGATACTTCTGTTGTTGTTTGGTTTGCGTCCCAATTGAAGTTTTGGAATCAGAATCTCATGATATCAGTAGTTGTGTTGCTTCATTTTTTTAAATTTCTCATGCTGGTTGTCCTGACATCAGTATTTGCGCTGCTTCATTTCAATATTGTTTCATGTTAGTTGCTAACGGCAAGTTTTGACAATTCCCACCTTGTGATGGTTTCACCCCTGGATCTTGGTTAGCTTTTTGAATGTAAGTATGTAATCCACATTGATACAGGAACTTGTGTGTGTGTGTAGGTTTTGTTGTAGCAAAGAAAATGTTGTGTTTTCGTGTGGTTTGTCGTGCATGCAGAAGCATAAATTCCATGTCAGGATGGCAAAGTTTCAGATGGCGGGCCTACAGCTGAGTTGGAGCAGCTGCGCATGACTGCAGTGGATGCTCTGAAGTGGGATGAAGTGCGCAAGTTGGCGCAAGCTGCAGGGTTGCCTGCGCGTGGAGCTGGTGGTGGTTGGATACCTGTGGCTGAGCTGCGTGAAGCACTTGTGAAGCATCTCACGCCACAAGCATTGCCGGCAACGGAGGCGATGGTGTGGAAAAGTGAGGATAGCAGGTGAAATTATTGTTTGCATGTTCAGCTAGTAAGTTCTTGTTTGTCATTGGTGTGGTTGTTTGGTGAGGACAGAAGGTCGGCAGTCGAAGCAATGGGAGCTGTACTGTGGGCGTGGCTGTCGCGATGCATGGAATGCACTGCAGTGCTGTGTCCCAAGCTGCTGCGTGATGGGGTTGCGGCGAAGGCGGAGCGCA